CACACACACACACACACACACACACACACACACACACACAACACACACAGCACACACAAACACACAAACACACACCACACTCAACGCACAACACACACACACACACACACACACACACACACACACACACACACCGTGACACATTCAAGTGTCGTCTGCCCTCTCTCTCTCTCTCTCTCTCTCTCTCTCTCTCTCTCTCTCTCTGTGTGTGTGTGTGTGTGTGTGTGCGTGTCACACACACACACACACACACACACACACACACACACACACACAAGCGTCGACCGGGGGGGGACCCTCACCTTGCAATGGTAGACGGCCAGCGAAAACGAAGACGACAGGAGGTTGGCCTTCACGAGCACGTCAAGAAAAATGGTGGCGGGGCGTCAACAAGAACGCTGTTCAAAATTGAACTCAAATTTCCAGCGCCAAACTGCTGCAGGGGCATCACAGGAAGATGGGTGCTCCTTATGACGGCATATGGCACATAGCCCAATGAAATGGGACCCCAGGGAGGGCGTCATGGAAAGTTGGCATCATGGAAAGTTGCGCCACTACGGACGGGGGCCTGCCAGAAAGATTTTCAGGCCCAGGGGCGCGGCAGGGTATTTCGCATGTCGGAGGGGCGCCATGCAAATAAATGGAAAATACAGGGGCGCCAGACAAATTTTCCCTTTGTTTTTTTTTGTTTTGTTTTTTTGACAGGGCTGGTTTCGCGTCCGCAAAACAAAAAAAAAAAAAAACAAGGGCGGCTCATGTGCTTGCTTTTCCCAAAGGAAAAAGAAAGAAAGTGCACCCTCGAAGGGCATAGCCCCTTTTGTGATCAAACCACGTGACGTTCATCTGCATATGACAGGATATCGCGGTCAGATTCAGTCGAGGAATTGATGACTCCGGCGCTTCGGATATAAAGAGAAAAGTCAAGACGTGGAAGAACCGCGCCCACGACGACCAACTCGCGGAAGCCGTGGATTGTCCCTGTCCGCTCAACTGTTTTTTTTGTTTTTATTTTTAAAATCCGTTTAGCTTTTCCTCCATATTTTATTCCCCCCCCCTTGGGTCCGCTCACCCCTTTTGTCATCTTCCAAATTCTTTCAATTCACCTTTTCACTACCTACCTACCTACCTGCCTACCTGCCTACCTACCACTCCTCCTAAGGCTTACTTATACAGGGGACCCCTGC